AGGATGTCCATTAAAAGAACAAAATGGGGTGTATAATTTCCAAACCACTAGAGTAGGAGTTAGCAAACTGCTCCATAAAGGGCTAGGTACTAAATACTTTAGGCTTTGTGGGCAATACCATCTCTCTGCCACACCTGTGCCGCTCTGTGGCTGCGGCTCAGAAGCAGCCATAGACAGTCTCTGTAACATGTAGGTGTGGCTGAGCTCTAATCAAACTTTGTTTATAAACATAAAATTTGAATTTCATATAATTTTCTTAGATTACAAAGTACTCTTCTTGACTTGTGGTCTATTCAGAGACAGTGGGCTCGGTTTGGTCCATAGTTTGTTGACCCCTGCATTAGAGAACAAAGAAAGGGGGTGGAGAAAACTTAATAATTTCAGCTAAAGACAGAAAAGGGGAAAAAGATGGGCAGAAATCATGAAGTCTAACAAACATGAAACATTAATGATGTTAGTAAAAGAAACAGCAGTTCCCCTAATAATGTGAATGGAATAAACTTTTCCATTAAAGACAGATTCTCAGATTGGGTGCTTTCTAAATGATAATAGGTCATGGTATAACAGAACAGGGCTACCTGAAGTATCATTCCCATAACAGTGCCAGTTAGCAAACTGTGACCCAACCATCTTGAGAGAAGGGAGCAGGAAAGAAGAGTACTTGGAAACTTTTATAGTGTTGTGATATTGTTAACAACTTCCAAGTGTGTGATCATTGTTCTAGTAATTCATTTTATTGCATTTTACAAAACTGTTAGTCAGTAATGGTTTAGAGATTAAAACTGCTTTGAGAAGCAATAGTAGAGAATATGATGTCAAATGAAGTAGATCCATATGTGTATATGATAAATGAAAACAAATCACAGAACAGTATATAAGATACGATTTTAAGTGTTTTTTTTTTAAGCACCAATTGTATATGTAATGAATTTTTAAAAATGCAGAACAATTCATATCAAACTGCTAACTGTGGTTCAACTAAAGAGAAATGATGATTGGGCTTGAAGGACATGGAGTATTTTCTTGTTTGAATCTACATACTTTTGTATTGTTCGACTTTTTTTTTACTTTTTTTTAAAGCAGTATGTTTTCATTTATTGTGGAATGGTTCTTAAACATTTGATTATTTAAACGAACGATCTCATGGTCCTTTCAATACTTGGCAATTGAATATCCATATGGAAAACAAGGATCTTAGCCTCTGCCTCACACGATATACAAAAATTATTTTTAGATGGATTATGAAACAAAATGTGAAAGTTAAAGCACTAAAGCTTCTAGAAGAATACATGGAATAACGTCTTCAGAAATTGGAGTAGGCAAAAATTTCTTTAAAAAAAAAAAAAGTTTGTCAGAGAGATCGCGCACAACCAGGGGGGCGCTGCAGGCAGAGGAAGAAGCAGGTTCCCCACCAAGCAGGGAGCCTGATGCAGACATATTCCAGGACTCCAGGATCATGACCTGAGCAAAGGTAGATGTTTACCCATCTTGAACCACCCAGAGGTTCCCTAGGCAAAAATTTCTTAAACAAGACACAAAAAGCATGAGTCACAAGGACACAACTTGTAAATTGGGCTTCATTAGTATTAGATGTTAGGTTCATAACAAGACACTGCTAAGCCTCAGACTGAGAGACGATCTTTGGCATATTAGGTCTTTGAAACCTAGAATTATATATATATTTTCTGTGTCTGTGTGTGCAGAAAGTTTGGAGAGGCACTTCACAAAAAAAAAATCAGTGGCTGTTTTGCATATGAAAAGGCTCTCAGTCAACATCATTAATCATAAGAGAAATGCAAACTCACACTATTATCCGTGGATTAGAATGGCTAAAATTGGGGTGCCCGGGTGCCTCATCCAGTTAAGTATCTGCCTTAAGCATAGGTCGTGATCCCAGGGTCCCAGGATTGAGCCCCAAGTCAGGCTCCCTGTCCAGCAAAGAGTCTGCTTCTCCTCCTGGGTCTGCCTGCTGCTCCCCCTGCTTGTGCTCTCTCTGTCAAATGAGTAAGTAAAATCTTAAAAAAAAAAAAAAGAATAGCTAAAATTAAAAGGTCCCATAAGATCTAGTGTTGGCAAGGCATAGATAGATAGTTAGGAACTCACCTGTTGGTGGTGGGTGTGTCAGTTGGTATAATCACTTTGAGAAAAAAAAAAAAAAAAGGCTGTGTACTAAGTCTGGGCATATATAAATCCTGTGCTGTAGCTGCTTCATTCCTGAGTATTCACTTAAGAAAAGTAGGTGTTTTTGCTCAACAAAAGATACAAGAACAGCCATGCTAACTTTATTCCTAATAACCAAGAAATCTCTCCATCAGCAGTACAAATAAGCTGGGGTATATTCATCTAATTGACTGTTACACAGCAATGCATAGAAAATACTGCTACCTATAATTACACGGATGAATCTCATTGACTGAAATTGAGCAAAAGGAGCCAAAGATGAAAGAATACCTACCATGTGAATTCATTTGTATGCTTTATGATGAAAGAAGTCAAAATAATGGTTTCCTTGGGAAGCGGGGGACAGAGGCGGTAACTCACTGGCAGGGGGGCAAATGGGAATATTCTGGGATGCTGGAAATGTTCAGCACCTTAATCTGGATGGTGGCCACATGTTATTAAGTTCTACACCTACATACTTAATATCCGCACACTTTAGCTTACACCTCAGTAAAAATGGGCGTCTCAGTCGGTTAAGTGTCCAAGTCTTGATTTTGGCTCAGGTCATGATCTCAGGGTTGTGGAATTGAGCTCCACACCAAGCTTCACAGTCAATGGGTAGTCTGCTTGGGATTCTCTCTTCTTCTCTCTCTCAAATAAATAAGTCTTTTAAAAAAATGATTTAAAAAAGAAAACCCCAACTCAGGTTTTACCTTCTGTTATGAAATTGTGTCATTATCCTTTGCCAAATTTTTAACATACTCAGGGGCTTTTTTTCCTAGGTCTTACATTCTTTTCCATTTGTCTGTTTCTGTAGATGCATTGTTCTGGCTTACTCATGGTTGCTTTATAATACATTTAATAGTTAATGGTGTGAGTCTCTCCTACTCATTCTTTTGTTTCAAAATTATCTTGGATATTTTCACTTCTTTATTATTATAGATAATTTTTAGACTCAAATAGCCAAATTCTCATACACCCTCATGCCATTGGAATTTTGATTGTAATTATATGAAACTAATAATTTAAAAATTTGGAGATGATTGGTATTTGGGTCAAAGTTCAGAAACGTTGTGTTTCTCACCATTTCCTCCCAGTTGTCTTCATGTGATGCCTACAGGTTATTTTTATTTTTGTACATTTTTGTTTTACTACTGTGACTGGGAACTTTTTGGTTACATATTTATGTTCCTTGATGTAATAGTATTATTATAACTTCTTAATCTCAATAACGGTAATAGTTATTATTTACTGACACTTTGTGCTAAGCAGTCTTACTTCTTACAACAATCCCTATCGGGTAAATACTACCTCCGCATTGTGCTAATTTTTACATTTGGGGTCAGTGAAGGACAAAGACTGAACAGCTGTTTTGTGGCAGAGCTATGATTCTAACCCAGGCAGTCTCACTCCAGAGCTACGCTGCTTACAAACACTGTGGGCCTAGGTGTCCTCAGGTGAAGCGAGAGAGACGAGTAGGAAGGCCAAGTGTGGGGATCAAGTCTAACACTGATGGATATGACTGACAGTACAGTGGGTGAGTAGTAATTGGTTATATAAGCACAAGACCTATACTAAAGTGGATTGTCGAGTGTACCTTCATTTATATTTGTAGACTACAGGATTCTAGTTTGGACTTATTCAAATCAAATCGTCTTACAATTTTTTAAGTGATTAACGAATGATTTTATGATTATTTTATATATTCCCAGGGTGCCATTGTATTTACCAAATGATGATGGTTACTGTTTTAGTTGTGTTCTTTGTTTGCAAGGAGCTATCACTTACTCCCTCTAGTTGAAACAGTGGAAGTATATTGTAAAGATACGCATGGCCGTAAGGGAGACGGACTCCTATGGGTATCCAAGAGATGGATCCATAGACCGGCCAGCATTTGTGGAGACTAAAAATGTCTTCTGTTCCAGATTAAAATCAGCTATAGGCATCTCAGCAGCAAGATTTTAGATCTTTCCTGCAATGTGCTGTTTTTATCTTCCCTCAACTGCTGCTGGCATATTATCTGCCATCTTGTCCATCTGTTTACTTTCATATTGCCAGTGTATTTTCTCCATGGTCCCAGGTAAAATTTCTGACAGATCATTTGATTGGCCATCATAGTTATTGTGTTTGGGCCAAGTGTCTCATGCTTTATAGACTACAGAACAGACTATAGGTTGGCTGAGTCAACTTTACCAGTAGTTCAAGTCATTTCTGGCCAGGGAGGGATGGCTGGTTAGGTGAAACATGGCTCATCTAAAACGACCTCCTTCAGTGTTCAGTAGCAAGGTTGATTTGCCCTAAATATAAAGGAAACGTGTTCACAGTATATATTCTGGTTAATGTGTTTAGTACCCATTACACCTTTTCCCTTTTAAATAAAATCTAAAGAAGTGGCTAACTTTGAAAATAGCAATTGCATTTATAGGTTGAGTAGTACAGAAGGGGAAATACTTGACATTAGAACAATCTCTTGCTTACTGTTTGGTAAGCCTGATAACATGTTGTATATCTCTTGTAGATATCTTGTTTAAAATGTCTGGTTAGGATCATTAAAACTGGAGGAGTTACTGACAAATATTAGGGAAGTTTTTTTTCCTGGTTATTTTAATAGCTGGGTTTGACTTGAAAAGAGGTTTTTGAGAATTTTACAAACCCATGAATTTAACAAGAATATTTTCTGGTGTATGTATTACTTAACCCAAGATCAGTGCTGAACTTAAGGTATATCATGAGATCCTTATTAGGATAATAGATAATTCATGATAAAAAATTGAAAAATTCAATAATATGTGGATATTAACAATAAAATTATACGTAACTATTTGTTAAATTGATTCTAGGTTGGGCCATGCAGGCTGCTGCCTATATCTTCATTCATAGGAAATGGAAGGATGACCAGAGCCATTTTGAAGACATAATTGATTATTTTTGTGATATCCGTGAACCACTGCAACTCCTCCTATTCCCAGAAGGGACTGATTTCACAGGTAGGTAGCCTGGGATTGATTCACAGAATTTTGAAACATGAAGGAACTTAGAAATCACTTAGTCTAAACTTCTGTTCTTCAGATGAAATCAGTGAAACCAGTAAGATTAAGGGTCTACCACTAAGGTTATTCACTCTGAATCAGTAGCACACCAGAGCCTAGAATTCCTGGTTTCCAGACCATAGACTTTATGATGGGCAACTCCAAGAGGTTAATATTATTTACACTTGCCATCCTAGAGCTTTGTATTTTAAGTCACATTATATAAGTGTCAGCCTTTTACTTTTATATAATTTCTTACAATTTTTATGGAACCACAAAATTAAACCCCCAAATAGCCAGTGAAATCTTACGAAGAACAAAACGTCATTTTAAAATTCCCTTCCTGGGCACCTGGGTGGCTCAGTGGGTTAAGCCTCTGCCTTAGGCTCAGGTCATGATCTCAGGGTCCTGGGATCGAGGCCCGCATAGGGCTCTATGCTCTGCAGGGAGCCTGCTTCCTCCTCTCTCTCTGCCTGCCTCTCTGCCTACTTGTGATCTCTCTGACAAATAAATAGATAAAATCTTTAAAAAAAAAAAAGAAAAGAAAAGGGTATAATAGTAACCAGTTTCATTTATTGTTGTTTTAAGTTAATATGTTGCCTTTCTCTGGGTATTTTAAAGCCTTATCTCTAATTAAGCAGGAAAGGCTTTGTCCTGTCTTCAAGAAAATTCAGCCTCCACTGAGTTGTGGAGAGGACACAGGAGGACATATTTAAGACTTTTCTACTTTCCTAGATATTAAACTATATATATATATATAGGCCAAGATGCCACTGGATCTCAAGGAATTCTTTAAAAATAAAAAGGAAATACAGTCTTTTATCCTTAATCGGTGGTTCTCACACTTTTTTTTAAAACACGGGTCGTTTTTGTGGATGAAACTGCCTATTGCAGTCTGGAATTTAAGACAGATTGAAGAAGTGTTGTGGTTGAATATTGGCAGGGTGGGATAAGCTTGGACAGGAAGCAGTTCTGTGGAATCCAACTCAAAAGATCAAAATTCTAAAACTGTTAATTCCCTGGTTACTTCAAGAAAGATACAGCAGAATTTGAGAAGGATCTGGTAGATAAAGTTCTGCTGTACAAGAGAAGACAGACTGAAGCAGGGTAGAACTGAAGTCTAAAAATTGCAAATAGGGGTGCCTGGGTGGCTCAGTCATTAAGCAGTTAACTGCCTTTAGCTCATGTCACGATCCCAGGATCCTAGGATTAAGCCCCCCACTAGGCTCCCTGCTTGGCCTGTTCTCCCCCTCCCATTCACATTGCTTGTGTTCCCTCCCCTGCTATGTCTCTTTCTGTCAAAAAAATAAATAAAATCTTTAAAAAAAATCACAGTAGTATGGAGGGCTAGAATATGAACCTGTCTTCCAAATCCTTGATACCAGATGGAGGCAAATGAGAGCTACTGAGAAGGACAACCCTTAGAGCTTCAGAGGGGAGAACATACCAGTTCTCTGTGTACATAATAATTTATGGAACCCAGTACCTACAAAGAGTTCAAGATGAAAAATACAAACTACACAACTATTTAAGTGAATGGGTAACTAAGCCATACTCTGCTACTGAGGAAAATTCAGGTATTTTGGGAAACATTTACTGTTAGGTCCATGGTCAAAGGAATGAGACTGATACAAAGCGAAGTTCGTGAAGCAAAGCTTTTTTTCTCGCCAGGCATCAAGAATCAAACTGACGACTGTTTGGGGCCACCTCTTACAGAGAGGGCGACCCCTCCCTGCCTTACAGACTAACTTTTATAGAGCAAAGGCGATGTGGTTGAGCCTCGCCACACACAGGTGGCCAGTGAGATTGTAACACACAGAGAAAGCTGCACAGTTAGGCTAGGTCCCACACAGGTGTACAATTGAATTACAGTTCACCCCATAGTAGCTGTTTGAACTAGCCTATCACCTTGGTCAGAATTGGCACCCAAAAGGTGGGGCCCACACTCCTTGGTAGCTAGGGAGTCAGTATGCGCGCCCCATTGATTGGATGTCTCCACCTGGCCCGACTCATCCCTGCCTTAGGGCTGTTATCTCCACCTGACCTGACCTGCCCTTGTATTTGGGCTCTGTTATCAGGGACTAGTTGACCATATTTTACTGGTTTCCCAGACTTGTTTTTAAGTAAGCCCCCTGGGGGGGCGGTGGGCAGGGTCAGTTTAAGTTTTACTGCATAAACAACAAAATGGCTGTTCAACCGAGGTGGAGCGGCTCCGGCTAAACGGGCCCTTACATTTACCATTGATACAAGGAAGAACTCTTTGACTTAACCGTTACACGTGGAACTGAACTAAATGAATCATGGCAATTTTTGTTGAATAATATGATGTACTAAAATATATGCTTACTATATAGGTTTGATTTTTATAGTGAGGATTCTAAAAGTACTTGGATCACAGAGGATAATACTGAGGATAATATTGGCTGCATATTGTTTAAGCTTGAAAATATAGGTTGTAAATTAATTGATTCCTAGAGCTCAAATATCACTAGGAAGTTCTGATGGACAGACAGCTGTATTTAAATCTTTTATTACTAAAGAATATATAATACTTAAATTTGGCTGTTGAAATACCAGCTGTATTATAGAAAGTAATTTACTGAGATGATATATGGATTGATATTTGTGAATGCCAAAGCGGACACTAAAGAATGACACCTTTGGATGTTATTTAGTAATTAAGAGCTAATGGAAAAAAAGCTCTGGATTACTGCTACTTTTTGGCATATGAGTGTTAAAATGTTTATATATTAGCTCTTCAAAGCCTCTAAAATTTATATTTAAAACTTTTTTCGGTCTATTTTTTCCTCAAGTGTCTTTTTTACGTGATGAACTTAACCTCTAGTGGCATATTTTCAGGGTCCAGAGTACTCACCATTACATGATGTAGTTGGATATTTTTTAAGTTAAAATGGTATTTACATTTTAAAGCCAACTTTCAAAAGCTAGATTGTTTGCCAAATAGAGAAAACAGATCCTGAAGCTTTCAAAAGGTTTCGTTTTTGTTTTTGTTTTAAACAGGATTATACAGGTAGTTGTAATCCGGGGTAAATGATTATCTTTGTTAATTCAAGGGTGTTTTAATTTTACCACAGTTAACTTGAAACTTGGGATTTTTAAGCCCAAGGGGAATGTTCTGTAACCCTCTTTTAAATTCTGAGTCCAACTTGCTTGCACATTTTCAAAGTAGGGTGTTTAAATATAACTTTACATATATTTTATCTTTATATGCTATTGTTGGTTTAATTTTTTGGGGGGGGGCTATGGAAGTCATATATGTGAACTTGGGAAATTTAGAAACATAGAAAAGAGCACAAAAATTGCTGTAATTCCACTGCCCGTAAATAAACACTATTACAAATTTGGCCCATTGCTTTTTGATCATTTGGTCACAAATGCATGCATGTGTGCACACACACATGTGCATAAGCACACACATACAGTTTTAAACAGTTGTAAAAAAGAATTATACATTTCTTTGCACTTAATGTTATATTATCTTTCCTACCATTATTTATTCTTACAAAACATGTGTTTCGAAGGCTGGGCAGTTCTAGATTATATTGGTTTATTGGGTAGGGTTGTCTAGAAAAAACAGAACCAACGAGATGTGTGTGCATATATGTATGTGTATGTACTTGTGTTTGTGGAGAGTTTGAGATTGAGAGAAATTGAGACGGGAGTTGAGGATTTATTTTAAGGAGTTGGTTCACATGATTGTGGAGGCGTGGCAAGTCAAAAATCTGCAGGTTAAGTTAGCAGGCTGGGGACCCAGGGAAGAGTAACAGTTTCAGTCAGGGGGCAGTCTGGTACAGAATTCTTTCTTGCCGGAGAAGCTTAGTCTTTTTCTGTTTAAGCCTTCAGGTGATCAGATATGGTTCACTCACATTATGGAGAGTAATCTGTTTATATAAAGTCTTCTGATTTAAATAATCTCATTGGAAAATACCTTCACAGAACATCTAGACTAATGTTTGACCCAACTATCTGGGTACTCTGGCTATGCCAGTTTGATACATAAACTTGATCGTAACAATTGGTATACTGTAATTTTGAGTTCTGTTTCTGTGATTGGGAAAGGAAAGCTTTTCTGGGTTTTAACAATTGTAATGCTACATGTAATTAAACACTCTTGTACATAAAACTTCATTTAATAAATGTAATAAATGAGTGCCCTGAAGCTTTATATATAAAACAAAGCCCCTACTTTCATGAAGCTTACATTCTATGAGGAGAGTAAAAACACCAGTCAGTTAACAAAAATGGGTCATATATTCATAAATGCTGTGCAGAGAAATAAAGCAAAATAAGGACAGGGAGAGGAGTTGATAGAGCACAGAGTACTCTTTTATATAAGGTGGTTAAAAGAAGCCCCTTAAATTTCTGTGTAAGTAGAGACTAATTGAACAAAGCAGAAAATGTTGCAGGTGTCTGGGTACAGGGCATTCTGGGTAGGGGAAAGAACATCTGCACAGACCCTAAAGTGAAAACATGCCTAGCTGATTGGAGAACACAGATTGGCCAGTACTGTCTTCAGAGCAGATGGGAGTGCTGGCATTGGAGTGTTACCAGTAGTGAGCTGACAAGACAGGAGGCTGTGGTCAGAAAGAGGGAGGCTAGTGCAGTCTAATAATCAGAGTCTGGGGATGGGTAGATGAAGTGGGGATAGGAGGAAAAATCTGTATCTCTGTGTTTGTCATTATTATCTCTACCTCCCCACATTGTGACTGTATGTTTTTAGTACTTGTGCGCCCATTCTACAGCAGCGTTCAGTTTTGTCTTCAGATCCCTAAAGTCTGTGATGAACTGGAAGAGGAAACTGAAGAGTAGTTAACTGCTTATCTTTGTCGTGTCCCTAGGATTCCTCATTCCGTGGAAGGACCTTCTAGCTGTCTATCAAATGCTGTTTTGGAGTCCCATGTCCAGGATATTCTCCTCAAATGAACATGAGAGGAGCTGTTCCTTTTTTCATGTTTACAGCCTGTACTTTTGCCGGGGACTGTGAATATTTAGTTCTTTAATTCTCAGTTCTTCAATTAAAAAATAGTATGACACCTTTTAGAGGCATGTTCTTTGAATATTTTAGTGTTGTGGCATCCATATATGGTTTTTTTGAGGTTTGAGGACTCCGTGATCTTAAATTTATTCCTAAGAAGGTTGGGTTTATATAGAGAAAGTTTTTTTTCTTGTGACTTGGAATAGGCTATAAATTTCAGGATGCAGCTGAGAGTTGCAGATTCTAACATCTGCTGTCATCAGAAGGTATTTCATGATCTCTCTCAGCAGTTGAGGCCAAATTTCTGAACACTACTTTTTCCAAATATATTTGCTGAATAATGGGTTTGGTTCTTCTTGGAAGTTATAAAGTTACCTCATGGAATGGAAAAAGAAGTTTTTGCCAGCAATTGGAACATATACTTGACTCTGTAACTATATTCAGCCAAACCATGTTCAGATGTTTGTACATGCTGTGCTAATCATGTGCCCATTCTGTTGGGGAGTGGTTTTGGTTAGTAATATTAGCATGCTGTATGCCTGAGCAAGGCAGACATTTCACTTTGCATTGAAGCCCTAAATTACTGGGTTAAAAAAAATTGTTGAGTTGATATATTTGATATATTGGCTACTTATTTTTTCTGGTTGTCCTGGTCCTTACATTTTATTAGTATCTTAGTTTTATTAGCATCTTTTAGTATTTCATTTTTTATTATGCGAAGACTATTTTATGAAAATTTTAGTTTATTCACATTTGATTTGTATTTCAGTTTTTGTTGTACATTGACTACTCTATGAAATCCCTTAAATAATTTAAAAAATTTCAATATGAATTTCAGGAAACAGTTATAAAAAGTCCTATTAATGCTTTATTATAAAAATTTCAAAATTCCAAAAACTCTGTGATCTTTGTTAGGAACCAAAGTGTTTATATCTTCTCAGTCAACTCATATATGCTATATTCAGTAATTACAGATGAATTAACTGCCATTTTATCAAAAAAATTTTCCACTATTTTCTTATCTCACTTACATTCTCTTCTTTTATGGCTTCTCATAGTCTTTTGTTTTGTTTAGAAAACAGCAAGGCTCGAAGTAATGAGTTTGCTGAAAAGAATGGACTTCCGAAATACGAGTACGTCTTACACCCAAGAACTACAGGCTTTACTTTTGTGGTAGAACGTCTAAGAGAAGGTAAGCACCCATCTCAGAAGGCTATGTTTTTATGTTAAGTGGCAATAATTGTTAAACTTTGTATGTAGCCCTTCAATATTTTACAAAGTATGGCTTTTTTCTCAAGATAGAAGATACTTTGTTCTTATACGAAGTTGATCCCATGAGCTAAAATGTCTTATTATGTATTCTTTAGAAATATCAGAGATATCCTTAAAAAATTTTCCTCCTCTCAGAATAGACATTCCATTTTTAAATTTTTCTCAAAGCACCAAAACTTTCTCGAAAGTATCTTAATACTATGCTGTTGTTCTGTATAGCTTAAAAAGTGTTTATGAATTTTTATTCCACTTACTCCAACAAATGATTCTGGTTAGTAGGAAGGCAAATACTACCTCTGTTTTCTAGTTAAGCAGAACTGACATCCAGGGAGGTTAGTAAATTTCTGTAGCTGAGGGAGAGAATGGCATTCTTCTGCTCCCAGTTTGTAGCTCATACTACTACTCACACTTCTCAAGAGCAGTGTCTGTTGACAGGCATGTCAGGATGAGGTGATGCTATTGATGGTATCACATCCATTTAAACATGTACATTTTCATATTTTTTAGGTAAAACAATATACATCTTATTTGTATGTTTATATATTGCTCCATACATATGTTGAGACAAAAAACATATATGAATATATATGGAAAAGGAACTATCCAGAAACATGCTGAAGTGTTACTGATTTTATAAGAATGATTTAAAGCTCAGAGTCACCTAGTGCAAGAAAAATCTTTTTTTTTTTTTGCATGTTTGTGCTCTCCACTCTGATTTCTACCAAGCCATACTGTATGATGATGACATCTATGACAAATTGTCACCCTCCTCTGATAACTGCTACATTGTCATAAAAAAAGTTGCACTTCCTTATGTAAGAAAAGCTGTAAATTTCTTGGGTCTTTCTCTAAGTAGCATCAGTGTTGTTCCTTTAGGGTTTAATAAACTTTAAGATACAAAGTACAGCCAGGCTGAAACACCTTTACAACTAAGTACCCATGATTTACAAAAAATGTATAGTCAATCCAAAATTGCATTGCTAGAGTAAACGGAAAACGTTATCCCTATGAGTTTGGCTTGCTCTTGAAATTCTGTGGTCATAACTGGTATGAAATGGACATGTGGGCTTGATGGTCTTATTGCCCGTGAATACTGAGTGTCCATCTACCCAGTGAAGCCCCTGAAGAACATAGTTCTTCCTGCCTGTGGGATGGGTCAGGGAGGCACTGAGACATTGAAGGGATGTTTTTTGTTGTTGTTGTTTTGTTTTTTTTTTAATGTGGTACCGCTTAACTGTGGCATCCAGCTTAGGCTCACCCTTCTTGTTCAACAATATGTTTTCTATTTTCTCACTAATCTGATAGCTTATAGTATTTAATGATTTCTTTAAAGGTATTTCTGACATCATGGAACACATTCATCTACTAGATTTCTCTGTAAACACAAGCATGCTATTGGAACACATCTTTTACTAATAAAGATCTTCCTAAATGCAGGCAGGATACTAGATTATCTTATCGTGGATAAGGATGTATCTATAGACCTCTCTGTTCTAAAATCTGGAAGATATTTTAGAAGCAAGTTGATTTATAACTTCGGGGAATGTGTGTTACTTAGTCATCATCACTCAAAATACTAGTCAACAACCACAGTGTGTACTTTTTCCTGCTAGAACTGGCAGCTCTTTCCACCCCCACCCCACTGATTCCACCCCCCACATATCAGTAAAAAAAGAGAAACACAGTTAGATGATTCTATTTACTTCAGTTAGAAAAGTAGAATATATTATACACTATAGTAAAGAAATAGGATTATTATGATTATAATAGTAGTAACAGCTAACATTTACTGAGCCTTTACTAAGTACCGGACATTGTGCTAAGTATTTTATATGCATAAGGTCAATTAATCTTGACAAGAACCATGCATGGAAGTTACTGTTACTAATAATGAACTTGTAGGGCAAAACTGAAGCAGAAACTGAGGTGAGGAAGCTTGTCAGAGTTACTGGACTCTGGTTCCTCTGACTGAATATCCCCTCTCTTTCTACTCTAACTTGGTGCCTCTTGTATTTGTAGTATGATTTTAGTTAACAATCTCCAAATCATAAAGCACTTTTGTAACAATAGTAAACTGGTTGGTTTTCCTCAAAAAAGAGCTTTAAAAAGGAAAAAAGAAAAAAAAAAAGGAACTAAGGGTCCAGATCGTGGAGGGATGGTGGTCCCAAAGGAGGAGGTTACGGTTCTGCCTAAGATTAGGGTATCAGGCACACCTAAGGAGGCATCAGGTGGAGAGTCAAGGTCAGTTCCACTCCCTGGGAGCGGGGGCTCATGTCAAATGAACATAAAAGGTGTCATCAAGGATCAGAGGTGAAGAGGACCTTAGAAACCATTCCGTCCAGAGTACCATTTCTAGAAAAGAAACTGAAGCCTCAGAAAGGACCAAACCCAACTTTCTGACCTTTAGGTCCCTGAGATCTGCTTTAGATACTCAAGTTATAGGAAAAAGAAGCTCTGTTAAAACAAATGACCCTTGTAAATAAATTATTCCAGTGGAATCCTAAAGACCATATATTAAAATGATTTATCATAAAGTAACAACTTCACTGCTCATGCATATAACTAAATTCAGCGTTTCCGACATCTGTTTGCCAGTCAGCACTAATGGGCTCATGAGAAGTTTAGGACATCGAGGAGCTAAGGATGAAGTCTTACCAGGAAGGACCAAGTAAATGAAAATGCAAAATGAAAATAGCTTCTGTGCCTCCGTTCAGAATATATTTCCCTGAGATTAAGAACATTTAGAAAACCCACACTTATCCTGAAACAGAGCACCCGTTATATATTATACAGATGTGTTGTTCCTGTAGTAGTAACTGCAAGAAATTTATCCCGAGTACCTTAAATTTCACCATTAATGTACTTGCTTTGTACTTGTATTAGATCATAACCTTCGTAAGGGTATGGAATGTTCTACACATAGTGACCCAATCAGTATGAGTTGAATTAAATATTTTCTTTTATCTGAAAAAATAAGACAAGCACAGTATCCTAGCCTGTTCCCCTTAGTGTATATTACACTGATAGATCAAGGTCACGGATGATTTCAGGTGTGCTTCTAACTTTTCAGTATGATTATGTAAGGCTTTTCAGTACTAGATTAGCCCAAACCCAAAAGGAATTTTTTCCTTTTTTTTTAAAGATTTTATTTATTTGAGTGACAGAGTGAGTGATAGAGACAACACAAGGCAAGGGGAGAGGCAGATGGAAGAAGCAGACTCCCTGCTGAGCTGGGATCCGGTATAGGGCTTGATCCCAGGACCCTGGCATCATGACCTGAGCAGATGCTTAACCACTGAGCCACCCAGGTGCCCCACAAAAGGAATTTTCTAACTTAGAGGAAAAAAGGCTTTTATATGAAAGTTTTTTTTTTTAATTGACAGCTATAATAAATTTATCACATAATTTTAAGCTTTTGTAATTAATTCTCACCAAAAATTAGTTATGTCATCATCATCTCTGGTTCTTCATCATTTTTAATGATAGCTTTACTCTTATTTGGTTTTAAATAAAGATTTGGTCCCACCATTGCTTGATTTTGTTAAATGTTTTATAAGCAATCACTGAGCTGTAACCATGCAATAATTACTTTCACCATTAGGCGGCACAGATGTGTACATTTGAAACAACGAAGTTAGGTTGAAGTGGTTAGGGGTGAGAATAAAACACTTCATATTTGTTTGAGGGTATGTCTTGTTTAAAATATGAGCTTGCCTACAAGAAGTTTATAGTCTTCATGGGTAGATAAGAATACACATGGAAAAATCCAAAACAAAATGGGACTGTACAATACAATTACATGCTAAATTTTATGTATAAATGCTTTGCTGAATAATTATAGGAGTATTCACTAAAGAGATATCATACAGTGTTGAAACACTTCGCTTCTTTAAGAAGCTCCATCTCCCTTGGACCTTAAAGACTATGTGTGATTTGGATAGGCAGAAACAATGATGGCTGAGGGCAGGGTAGGAAGAGTACAAGAGAGGGCATGAACTTTGGGGCAGTAGGAGGCTGAGCAGTAAACAGGCACAATGAATGCGATCAAGCTGAAGACTTGTACTGTAGAATAACAGACAATAGTTAAGAAGGCTCTTTGGAGCCATTGTTGAAAAACACCTTCTACCCCCAAATAATCATCTTTTTAGTCATACATTTCTAGCTGATGTCATTTCAGGCAAATTATCTCATATGTTAAGGCTCTGAAACATCATATTGATATACTTAAGTTTTGGGATTTTTAATTCCAAGTAAAATAATCCATATGTTAACTTCTTTTTAAACTATTTTACTTACTTATTAGAGAGAGAGAGAGAGAAAACATGAGTGGGGGGAGGAGCGGGGGAGAGAGAGAGAAGCAGACTCCCTGCTGAGCAGGGAGCCCGTTGTGGGGCTTGATTCCAGGATCCTGAGATCATGACCTGAGCCAAAAGCAGATGCTTAACTGACTGAACCACCTAGGCACCCCTAAAATAATCCATATTTTAATCTGTGTTTAGCTCATATGCCCAAAGTCTGAATATAAAAGATGCTTTCTTTCTACTAATCTAGGGGATACAGGGCTAGTCGCTAAGGAAAAAATAAACTCCCACTAGGTAGTTTTGATCAGCGTATCTGACCAAACTCTTCAGTCTGTATTCAGGGAGAGAGAATTGTTCACTGGACCCCCGGATTACCTATAGTATCTGGTAGTCCTGTGTTTGGCTCTCTCATTTTGGTCTACAATAGTTCTCATTTGCTCCAAGAAAGTTGGCAATTGCCTAGAAAGTAAAAGCAGTATACCGTAGATAGCTCAGTCTTCAGTGTTTTCGGACTGTTTTAATTTCTTGGACTTTTTGCTTAGTGCATGAGTAAGCATGACTTGCCTGTAGGAAATGTTCTAGTGAGGGACCAAAGATGGCCAGCACAAGCTGCCACTCT